CCCCCCCCCCCCCCCCCCCCCGCCCCATCATCTGCCTCCAATGATGTCTTCCAGCAGACCGCGCTGTTTTTGGAGTGGGAACTCGGTTTCTAAGTAAAACAGAACTGCAGATCCCAAGACGAGTAACTTCCTCCTCTTGGATGATGCACATATAAGGACCACGATGCTCGCACCACTTACGAGACAATTATTCTTTATCTCATTCTGAGAAATCTGGCCGGGATTGCTATTCCTCCGATGTACGGAATGGATAAGCCAAGATGGCGGCCTACATGGAATCCGTGGGTGCCGCCATGTTCTTCCGGCCTCTTACGGAATTGTTTGCAAAGCCTTGTAAGCGCCAAGTCGAGTGTTGTGTTGGAGTCCTCCGGTTTCCGAGGCAACGCTGAGCATGCGCAGTACCATAGTCCAGTTTTTTTAGAAACCGGAAGTGGCCGTGGCCTGCGGAGGCGTTTCCTCCCCGCCCCTAGCCCTGCTTCCGTTGAGTCTTCCCGGCGAGAAGTCTCCGGAGATGGTTCCGGTTGGTTTCAGCTGGAATCCCGTGGCGTCAGGCGCGTGCGTGCGTGTGTGTGTGTCGGGAGTCGGTGGTGGCCGCTGTGGTGATGGTGGGCAGAGGCAGGGGTCCCGGCAACGGCGGGACTCCGAGCCCCGGCGGTGGGAGGTGGGGGGCGCGGGGGGCGCGCGGGCCGCCGGAGGCTGCGGTGCGATGCCCTCTACCCCGAAAGCTCAGGCCTCCGTTAAGTCACCACCTTTGCTCTGCGGAGTTTTTATTGTCCAAGTATAAATGGGTTTCTCTTAAAAAAATTTCTTTTTTTTTTTTGGTCCGGAGTCATTTTGAAATGCATTTTCTGTTTACAGATAGTGTCTCCGGGTAGTGGTCGAGTTGAAAAATGCTTTGTGGTCTGTGCCGTCATCAGTTTTCATAAGTGTCACATCTATTACGCAGAAGGAACGCATTCCATAATTAATTGTATTGTGAGTATATATATATAGTAAGCATATATTTTAATATAGCCATTTGTGACCTTACAGTTTTTGTTTGGTTGGTTTTGGTGACAGGGTTTTTCTATGTAGCGACCCTGTCTGCCCTGGAACTCTTATCTGTGGATCAGGCTGACCTTGAACTCAGAGATCTGCCTGCCCCTGCCTCTCCAGTGCTGGGACCAAAGGCCTGCGCCACCACGCCCAGGAGACCGGACAGATTTTTTTATCTGCTGAGTTGTGGGGGGAACGTATATTGCTCACAACGGAGGGGTGATTTGTCCATCCCTCCCTCTGTCCTTTTCTGGTTTGTACGTTTGAAGTTGCATCAACACTCTAGTGTCTTTTTGCACAATATGTTTATTCTTTGAAAATATATTTATTCTTTGATCTTGCCCACCCTTACTGCCTCCCTCCAGTTATTTTTAATAATAAGTATGACTAAGTAGCTCAAGGGATATTATAGCATTTAAAGAGTTCATCATCAATTTGTAAAGCAGCTTATTTTCACAAATGCCTTTTCTTCTTGCAAGTTTTCTATCTTTTGTCCAGTTTTTTTACCCCTTGGTTTTTTAAAAAGAATTGCTAGATTTTTTTTTAATGTTAGGAAAAAAAAAAAAAAACAACTATTGGTCTCATGATGAAAATTATATCTACTTGTATTTCAATTTGTGGCATTTTTTTCCTTTTTTCTCTTTTTTATACTGGACCCAGGGCCTCAAGCATGCTAAGCAAATGCTCTAACTCTGATTTATAGCCTCCAAGCCCCCCTCTTCCTCTCCCTGTCTGTCACACATACATGCACTCACACATATTTAATAAATATGTATCAAAACTTTTGTGTGTGTGTGCGCGGACTTGTCATGAGTGTGGAAGTCAGAATAAACAATGGGAGTTGGTTCTCTTTTTCTGCCATGTGGGTCCCTGGGATCAAATTTGGGTCATCGGGCTTGGTGACAAGTGGCTTTACTGAGTGATCTTGCTTCTCCCCATTACGGCATATTTTATCATATGATATGGTCTGCTCTGAAATGTGTGTTCTGTCTTTTATAGCTTCTAGGCTTCCTTTTGTTTGTGCTATGCGTGGGAGCTTTTTTCCTCTGGGCATAACTAGATGCCATCTTGGACTTTGCTCCAACTTAACTAGAGCAGAACTGATATTGACAGTTTGTGTCAATGTCACGGAGCTGCTGATATTTGCTAGGCCCCTTACTGTCTCCTCTAGCTGCAGGTGGCCTTGGGAGATAAGATAGATAAGAAGTAGAAGATTGATTGAAGACACAACTTCATGATGTAGCGTTTATGAGGCTGACATCCATGAAGGGGTGAGACTTTAATGTAATGTCGTTGTTTTGGGGTTCATCTGTGGTCCTTTCAGTGACCCCTTACATATGCTCTGTAAGCAAGCCCCGTAAGCTCGTTGGTCTCACCAGTTTGGACTTAGCTGAAACTGTTACTCTTCCCTGTCACTGATGTAACCTGGGGTGCTTAGACTCGGCTTGTATCTGCCCAGGGCGATGGTGCACAAATACAGACTCTAAAATTATATTTTAATATTTTGGGGTATTTCCAGGATGCATATTTAAATTTTTAGTCCTGCCTGAGTTTGTCTACTGAACAGTGTGGAATGGTTGATTTAGTTTTTTTTTCCAGGTGGTATAGCCAGTTAGAGCAGCATCAAATGAATGTCTTGGATATGCTTGGGTATATCTCTTTTACTTTTTTACATTTATTTAGTGTATGTGTGTCTGTGTGCATGAGCACATGCCGTGGTGTGCGTGAGGACAACTTTTTTTGGGCCGATTCTCTCCTTTCACCATGGGAGTCTTGGGGATGGAACTCAGGTTGTCAGGGTTAGCAACAGGGAGCAGGTGCTTCACCCTCTGAGGTGGCTCCCCAGTCCCAGAGTTTCTTAAATTTTCTCCTCTCCCAGCACTATTTCCTGAGTGTAATCCCTGGTACAACAGTTTCAGCATAATTCTGGGTACTAGTTAGGAGCATAAATTCTTAGGTCCTTAGACCTGCTGGAGCAGAAATCGTGGCAGAGATTTTACCTGTGTTTTGACAGTCTCTCTATATGATCTGAATGCACACATGCTCAGGTTTGAGAAGCTCTGCTCTGTGGTACCTGTTACCTTCAGGGCCCCATGGGGAGTTTGAGTGGTGAGTATCTTCTGACTAAGGACTTGATCTTTCCAGGTCTCTTGGTGTCTCTCTGGAGCTCCTGACAAGATCTTTCACCACACTCCAGATCATCTCTTCCCTTCAACCCTGACTGAATTCATAGAGGACTGCTAAGCTTCTGGTTGCTGAGACAACAGAGTTGAGACCCGGGGTGACCATGACAACTAACTGGACTTCAACCCAGGAAGCTATACTGTTGGCCCCAGAGGATTCTGGGAGCTCCTGTGAGGTGAGGGGAACTCCCTGGGGGGTGGGAGTTCCTCCAAGAAGTAGATGTCTCTGGTTTGTCATTAGAGTCTCCAAAGAGAAGCAGATAAACCAGAGAAGCAACTAGACTTTTAAAGCTGCTCATTGCCCCAATCTTGATTTTTATTAAGAAATAAGAAACAACTGTGCAAATGCCCACAGCCCCAGAGGTATCAAGGTAAACCGTAATGATAACAAAAGACTGCTGTTTATCATCCTGTGTTTATCTTTTGTCCGAGGATAAAATTCTTGGTAGAAATTGCTTCTGTGTAGGGGTTTTGAAGCAATGATTGACTCTCTTTCTCCTCTGATTGCCAGACTGAACACAAATACTCTGTAAAGATAGAATTTGTGGGACTTTTCTATTCACCCACTCCAGCTCCCACATAAATGACAGAGACTTACTAGATATATTAATAAGCTTTAGGATCAATAACTGGGCAGAAATGATTTATCCTAACTCACTATGCTAGTCTGGCTACTTCCCAGCCACACAGCCAGAATTACTTGCCATATTGGTCCTGCCTGGGTTGCTTCTGCTCCATCAGGTCAGTGCTCATGGGCTTTCCTTTCCTTTCTCTCCCTCTTCCTTCCTCTCTCCTTACCTCGTGGTCCCTACCTGAGACCCCAGGACTGGGGATGGAAGTTTCACTTACCTCTCTCCTCTGCCTAGTCACTTACCTCTCTCCTCTGCCCAGCGTCTTTATTAACCAATCAGAGATAATTAGGGAGCAAAGTTAAATGTTTTTATAAAGAAAGAAATTATTTTACCAATTAAAGACTTAGGAGCCAGATCCAGGAGTGAAAGCCTATTCTCTCAGAGAGACAGAATAAGTCAAAAGCTCCTTCTCCACACTGCCTTATATACCCCTCTCTCAGGATCCCTCCTTTCTATTTATTCCCTGTCAGCTGGTGTCTTGCTCCGCCTCTTGACCTAGGGTTGACTTTATTTAGCTCTTGGATTAAAGGTGTTTGGTGGGGTTGAGCCACACACAACCACCTATTTACAATAAACAGAACGTTTTCTTGGATTAAAAATGAGGCTGAGCCACTCCACAACTAGAAACAGGATTTTACAGTTCACAGTCTTGGGGTTCACAAGGGGATTAAATATTCTGCATCAAGGTTTACACAACACCAATCAGTGTACGTGCCATTGCCCACAACCAGACTGCAGTCAGCCCTTGGGGCTGGAGTTCAGTGTCTCCAGCACAGCAGACCAACCCCAGCAATATTCTCTTTATTACGTTTTTGAAATCTCTGCTTCTCAGTATGTCTCCAATTTAGATTTTCCTCCACCATGTTTTGCTGCTTTTCTTTCTGAGAAATGTTGCCAAACTTTGCCAACTACGTGTCTGTTGAGCTGCATGTTACCACTATTGACATTTAATTCCAAGCTTTACTTTTAAAATTTCTAGTCTGGGGCCAGTGGGATGGCATCCTGAGTAAGGGTGCTTGCCCCATAAGCTTGGAGACCCAAATAAAAAGTGGAGAGAGAGAACAGACACCACAGACTTGTCTTCTCCGTGTACCATCACAGTAGGCACAAGCACACACAGACCCCAGAGAGGTATAGCTAAAAGCACTCACTGCTCTTTCATGAAGTCCCAGGTTCAGTTCCCAGCACCCACGTGGCAGCCCCCGACCTCTGTACCTCCTGTTCCAGGGGATCCAGGGCCCTTTGGCGGCTTCCCTGGGCACTGCACACATGCAGCACATGGTCACACGTAAGTAAAGGCCACAGCGGGCAGGACGGCCTCCCACAGGCCAGCCTGCCTTAGACAGTCCCACGCGCACCCTCTCCTCTGGGATTCCAATGGTGTCAAGTTGACAAACATAACGGTTCCAGTGTCCAAGCTCATGTTAGTCGCTGGGGGGGTCTTAGCCTCCTGGTTCTGAGCCGACGGCTGCTAGGGCCTTAGAGGTGGTAGCAATGAGCACGTGGCCGTCCTGGGCTTCTGTGACCTCTCTCATGTCCTCCAGTGTCCTCCTTCAGTAGTTTGTTATTTTGACTGCAGGATGAATGTCATGGATTCTACTTGGCCAGCTTGCTGGCATTACTCTCCAAGGACTTCTACAAATGAATTAAAGACAAAAGCAAAACCCATGATCCTTGTTTCTGAATATGGTTTTACATCCCCCAAATTTGTTACAGGGACCAGTGTCCTTTATGGATGTGACTATAGATTTCAGCAGAGAGGAATGGCAGCATCTAGACCCTGCTCAAAGAAGTCTCTACCGGGATGTGATGCAGGAGACCTACAGTCACCTGCGCTCAGTAGGTAAGCAGTCCCCTTGGTATCTACAAGGAAGCCTCACTGAGCATATTTTATTCTTAGCTGCATGCCTGCCATCAGGCATCTTAAATATGTCACGCTTGCGCACGTGTGCGCATGCGCGTGCACACACACAGGCACTCTCTCTACCTCCCTCCTTCCCTTCCCATGAAGGTGCAGGGCAAAAGAGGGCACCAAACTCCCAGGAACTGCATTTACAGGTAGATGTGAGCACCCAACCTTAACCTTCAAGATATGAGCAAGTGCTCCTAATTGCCTAGCATCTCTCCAGGCCTGTGACTTGAAATACTATCTTGTCCGTAGATATACGTGGTTACTTAAAACCAACTCTCATTAAACAATAAGGCATTACTGAATGGGTGCTGAAACTTGAGTAGCTGGACCAAGTCCTTGATCATTTCCCTTTAGCAGGACATCAAGTTCCCAAGACAGAGGTTTTCATGCTGGAGGAAAGAAAGGACACATGGGCACTGCAGAACGAGAACCCGTGTCAGCACTATGCAGTGTGACCTCTTTAGTGGGAGGCAGGGGATCCTTAGCAAAGCAAGAGAGAAAAATCTTAGCTGTCTTGAGCAGACTGGCACCTTAGAAATGCCATTATGATGACTTCCAGGAGAGCTCTAAGTTTTCTGTGTTGCTTAAGGACCCTTGATGTTGACTTCTCAATCACTGAGTACCTTCCGCCTGGTTGACCTCTGCCATGTCCGTTACCTCTGCCATGTCCGTTCTCTTGGCTTTGTAGATTCTGGATTGTGTGCTAATCTACTTCATTCTTTTATTACTCTTTTTTTTTTTATTGGCTTTTTTCTTATACTTTTCCCCTGTCTATATTCTTTATTTATAGACACGGGTGTTGATGAATCTTTCTTTCATAATTACTTTGTGATGTTCACATTCATATTCCTGTACATCCCCTTTTCTTCTTTTCCGGTGAGATGCTTCAGAACACTACCTCCACCCTAACTGTCCTCCTGCTTTTTTGTGGCCACTGCATTAGATTTCTCATTGCTTCCCACTTACCATGTCTTTCCTCTAGCTTACGACTTGGGAGTCCTTGTCAACCTTTGGGAGTATCTGCTGTGTTTGACACTTTTAAAACACTTTGCAAAGCTTCATTTTAATGCAGCCTGAGTGAGTCCACATTTGGCAGGGTCTCTTCCTAGGCAGTTGATATTTGTTGTTGTTTTCTTGCTGTACTTCAGTGATGAGGCCTGCATTTAATTAGACTCTTTGGTTTGGATGGTTTTCTTATGATATGTGGTTAGTATATACCCTTTTCTCTCTTTGGCTCTCTTCCTCCTCCCTCCCTGCCATGGGTCACTGATTTATATGGTGGAGACTTGTAAAAACCATCCATGTTATAACATTTAAAATAAGTTAGAGCTATATAACAGTTCATAAGCAGGTCAGCTTTCTCTGTGTGCCTTGCTCTTTGCTTTGCTCACATCTGGCTGTATGTAATCTATCTAGCTGTCCCCTCCAATGGATGTGTCGTGGACCTGGATGTTTCTTGTCCATGACAACCTTCTTCATCAAATTATTACCCTTATCCTCTTCTTTATGTTCATCTTGGATGAGCATTTGTACCTGCCATCTAGCCTTTGCTAGCTGTACTGTGAACTAAAATCACTTGTTTCTCCTTCAGAAAGGAACTTGGCTTTATAGCAGGGAATTCTGAAAAAGCATCTTTGTACATTGAGCAAGAAAGTAGTTTTATAAATAATGTTTTCTCATATTTCATTCTAGAAGAATTGCAGCAGATTGGTGACCAGAACAAGACCTGTCAGCAAATAGAATATAAGTCAGCAAGTGACTTAGTTTTCATCAAGAAGCCACTGGATACAAAGAACCATGAATATAAGGGTGTTAAAAAAATAATTCATGTGAATCTGTACAGTGTTCTTTCTCCCAAAAGACCCCGTCAGTGTGATTCACTGGGGAGTGATCTGAAGCATAATTTGGATTTACAGAGGCATAATGGGACAAAGAGAATTAAAAAGATTACTGAATATGGTAAAATTTCATCCTCTACCAACGTTGAGCACATTCTGACAGGAGAGAAATTATGGGACCATAATCAGTATGGAAAAGTCCTCAGTTATGAACAAGTCCCTTGTCAATATCAGAAAATTCATATTGGGGAGAAATCATATGAATGTGCTGAATTTGGAAAGATTTTCACCCAAAAGTCACAGCTCAAAGTACATATGAAATCTCATACAGGAGAAAAACTCTATGTATGTATTGACTGTGGGAAGGCATTTTCACAGGAGCCTGAATTCATCACACATCAAAAAAAACATACTAGAGAGAAGCCCTATAAATGCAGTGACTGTGGAAAGTCCTTTTTCCAAGTATCTTCTCTCTTCAGGCATCAGAGGATTCACACTGGAGAAAAGCTCTATGAATGCAACGAATGTGGGAAGGGCTTCTCGTATAACTCGGACCTCAGCATGCATCAGAAAATCCATACAGGAGAGAAACATCATCAGTGTATCGACTGTGGCAAAGCATTCACTCAAAAGTCCACACTCAAGATGCACCAGAAAATCCACACAGGAGAGCGGTCCTACGTCTGTATTGAATGTGGGCAAGCGTTTATCCAGAAGACACACTTGGTCACACACCGAAGAGTTCACACTGGAGAAAAGCCTTATGAGTGCACCAACTGTGGAAAATCCTTCACTTCCAAGTCACAACTCCAAGCCCATCAACGAACTCACACAAAAATGAGGCCTTACGTTTCCACTGACTATGGGAAAGTCTTCAGCAGTAGCTCCAGCCTCATTACACCTAAGAAAATGCAAATTAAAGAGAAATCTTCCATCTGTACTGAGTGTGGGAAGGCCTTTACCTACAGGTCAGAGCTGATCATTCATCAGAGAACTCACACCGGAGAGAAACCTTACCAGTGTGGTGACTGTGGCAAAGCCTTCACACAGAAGTCAGCCCTTACGGTGCACCAAAGAATTCATACAGGAGAAAAGTCATACGTGTGCACGAAATGCGGGCTGGCTTTCATCCAGAAGGCACACTTGGTTGCACACCAGATAATTCACACTGGAGAAAAACCTTATAAGTGTGCTCACTGTGGAAAACTCTTTACTTCCAAGTCTCAACTCCATGTACACAAACGAATTCACACGGGAGAAAAACCTTATGTGTGCAATAAATGTGGGAAGGCATTCGCCAACAGATCAAATCTCAGCACACATCATAAAACCCATACAGGGGAAAAATCCTATGTCTGTTCAAAGTGTGGAAAGGCTTTCACTCAGAGGTCGGACCTGATTACACACCAGAGAATTCACACTGGAGAGAAACCATATGGATGCAGTACCTGTGGGAAAGCCTTTACCCAGAAATCACACCTCAATGTACACCAGAAGATTCATACTGGAGAGAGACAGTATGAGTGCCAGGACTGCGGGAAAGCCTTCAACCAGAAATCAATCCTCATTGTGCATCGGAGAACTCACACGGGGGAGAAACCCTATGTATGTACTGTGTGTGGGAGAGCTTTCATCCGAAAGTCCAACTTCATTACCCACCAAAGAATCCACACTGGAGAGAAGCCTTATGAGTGCCCCGACTGCAGGAAGGCCTTCACCTCCAAGTCGCAGCTGCTGGGGCACCGGCCAGTCCACACGGGCGAGAAACCTTATGCCTGTGCTGCCTGCGGGAAAGCCTTTAGTGGCAGGTCAAATCTCAGTAAGCACCAGAAGACCCACACCGGGGAGAAGCCATACATCTGTTCTGAATGTGGGAAGACCTTCCGGCAGAAGTCAGAGTTGATCACCCATCACAGAACCCATACCGGAGAGAAGCCTTACGAATGCAGCGACTGTGGGAAGTCCTTCACTAAGAAATCGCAACTCCAAGTGCATCAGCGAATCCACACAGGAGAGAAGCCCTATGTGTGTGCTGAGTGCGGGAAGGCCTTCACCGATCGGTCCAATTTGAATAAACACCAAACGACACACACCGGAGAGAAACCTCATAAGTGTGCAGTTTGTGGAAAAGGCTTTGCACAGAAGTCAGTGCTCAGTGTGCATCAGAATATTCATCCTTAAACAGTAGGAGAACTCGTTGAGGATGGGTCTTGTGATCACCGCCTCTGTGAAACAATAATATGCACATTGTTGTAAATAGAAAAGCCACGTGACAGTGTCACACTTAACTGCTCACAAAAGGATCTCAGAAGGTACTGAATGGGATTACAGGGAAGGACACACCTGCTGAGAAGTGTCAGTTTGACCCAATAGAAGCTTTCTCCTGAAAAACTACAATGGAACACTTACCAAGTTCTTCACAAGGAAGATCATGTTACCTCCTTGTTGGAGGATGGTTTTCGCACTATGTATTCAAATGCTGATTTCTGTGACCAGAGATCTGGTTGCAGTTCCAGCTTTGGCATTGTAACTTTTATGAAGCATCTCCTGTTTTAATGTATAAAAACTGTTCTCCGTCACCTGATTGGTTAATAAAGAGAACAGCCAATAGCTGAGCAGGAGAGGTAAGGTGGGACTTCCAATCCCAATGAGAGGGTCTCAGGTGGGGACTAGAGAGAGGAGTCACCATGAGGATACATATGAACAAGGAGATGCCACAATGAGACTAAGATAACCTGGGAAGTAGGCTAGGCCAGCATAGTCAGATTAGAATAGCTCAGTATATGCCCAGCTGTAGTGTTTGAAGATTTTAATAAAATTCTTAGGTCTCCATGTCATTGTTTGGGAGGTAGGATAGGCATAGAAAAAAAAAAACTTGCCTCATTTGATGAAAATCCCGATGATGGAGTGCGCACACTGTGAACTAATTTGTAATAGAATGTAATGTACATGCCGTGATTGTCTGTTGCAGAACATTAACCTGTGGGTGGGGCATGGGCACTCTTGGTTGGATCTAACGTCTGTGCATATCTGGTGCCTCTGCTGAGACACTCCAGGACTGGGTGTGGCATTTCATGCCAGTAATTTCAGCCTTTGGGAAGAGCTGAGGCAGGAAGGTCACCTGCCTCAAGGGTAGTCTGAGCTTTTTAAGACCCTGTCTCAAAAACAAGAGAGAAAGACTACAATAAAAGCCCTTCCCTTTGAGGGGCTTTTGGTCACCAGCCCACAAGGGCAGGAGGTGCAGGGTTCAGAAGGCCTGCAAGAAAATGACCTTTGGAAACCATGTTGGTGAGATGGTTCAACTTCCTTGGGGAGTGAGTGGGCCTCCCAGAATAGGTGTACATAATTGGTTAAGGCCAGGGATTCCAGGATGCTTTGATTTGCATTTAGCAGCAGGGTACGATCACTTCAGGAACACTACCTAATTATCCTATTGGCACAGGAAGGGGGGAGAGCTAGCAGAGAGCTGTGCCAAGGGCATATTTCAGAGTTGGTTAGAGGCACCTTGTCTAAAGACACTCTCCAGATGAGATCAGGTAGAGAGTAGGAGGCCCTGCTAGGGAGAGGGAGTCCCCCGTCCACCCTTAGCTCAGAAAGGCTGTCTGGACTGGGAGGACTGCAACCGCAAGCAGCAGAGTCCTCCACAAATAAAAACACACCCTGACACAAACATGAGAGTGTAAGTGGACTTCTCATTGTTTGCATCAAGACCTGTAACCCACTTCATAAACCACCAGGAATTTCTATCACAAACAACATGTCTCCCACCTCAAGTATACCGTCTTTTGAATTTCCTTTACCCTTACGAAGGCTTGAAGTAAACAAGTTCAGATCACCTGGGTCGGATTAAGTCTCTTGTCCAGATTTTTACATTCAGTTGCTTTTTGTAATGATTTCATAGGAAAATGACTGGGGCTGGAGATTTAACTGAACGCCTGCAGGTGCACAGGTGGCCCATGGCAGCCATCATTTGCTAGTATTTCCTCAGCTGGATGTTTACAAAAGGCTCCTTCAAAGCTCAGGTGCCATCACTCCAGAATTCACACCAGATACAATGGCTCTGGTAAAATTCTGCTTCAACAGAGTGAGTTCCAGGACAGCCAGGGTTATAGATAGAAATCCTGTCACAAAAGAAACTCCTTCATGTCCCTCCCTCTTGTACCTCCTTTCTCTGACAGAGCATCAAATTACCGAGGCTACCCACAAACACTGGGATTACAGTCATGTACCCCTACAACCAGCTTTGTGGTCACTAAAAATCAAGCACTTAACCTTTTGAGCTACAACCTCGGCCCCAAATATCAATTTCTCAACCAAAAAATTATTTTATATATTTGATACATAATATCAAATATATATGTATGTGTGTATATATATATAGAGAGAGAGAAAGAAAAAGGCAGAAAAAAATATATAGACAACAATTCCTGGGGGAAACCAAGTGGATTGTTTATAAATTTTGTTTTGTTTTTCAAGGCTGGGTTTCACTATGTAGTCCTGGCTGGCCTGTAACTTGGTATATAGACCAAGCTATTATTCTTGGAGGTATGGCCTTTCACTGGAGCTTGGTCAACTTAGTAAGGACCACACTGAGTGAAAACTGACCCTCCCCAGCAGCTAACACCTGACGATAGCTTCTCAGGTAGGGACCTCATGCCCAACTCCTCTCCTCTTCATGCATGGATGCAGTCTCGCTTTGTTTTACAGGTTTTGTGTGATGTCACAAACCCTGTGAGCTCACTGCCTTTCTGTGTCCAGAGAACACTCTCCTTTAGTCACCCACCAGCTCAGACTCTTGAACTCCTTCCCCAGTTCCATGATGATCTCTGAGCCTTGAGAGACCAGGGTATGATACATATGTTCCTAAACACTTGTAGTCAGAGACAGCACTGTTGGGAACCCTGCTGCTAAAGCTACAGTTGGCCATCACTGGAAAGCCTTGAGCTGAGTGTGAAATAGAGGACTCCATTTCTTGGCCCCAGGATGCACCCCCCCACCCGAAGAATGTCATGTAGTCCTTAGGGAAATTAAAGGTCCAACTATCTTTGTCCTGGTAAGAACCCGTTCAGCAAGTGAGAGACCAAAGAATTATTAATTAGTTTTTTGAGGTAGTGGTTCAAAGTTTAAAGCACAACCTGAAGGCCAGCCAGATGGAGACATATCCGGCAGGGGTGGCCTGCAGGGAGGACCCAGCCTTGCTGTATTCCTGCCCACTAGAGGTACAGTTGCTAGGAAACTGGCCCAAATGGCCTGGCTGGAACCACTCAAAGAGATCCCAGATGGCCAGGCCAAAACTATGAACTTGACACCTAAAGTTAACCAATCATTTCAAAAGTCAATTTTCCTTAATCATGTAATGCCAAGGCATGTAACTCCCCCCTTGCTGTTTTGCCCTTTAAAAACTTTGTTCCCCTAGACAGACCCGCTGCATACCTGTTTCCATAGTGATCTTGTGACCTGGGCTTGAGCTTGTATCAAATAAATCCTCATGTGTTTTGCAGCAGAGTCGATTCCTGGTGGTCTTTGGGGTGTCACAAACTGGGCATTAGCACCTGAAATTCCTGAAATGCCTTCCCATGTAAATGAGACATATCAGTACTTTAGCTCTTCAGCCAATGACCTTTGCCCACCTGGGTATACCTACCACTACCCCAAACTGAGAGTCCAAAGAATTAAAAATCAGTTTTTTGAGCTATTAGTTTAAAGTTTAAAGCACAAGCCTGAACAAAGGCCAGACAGGTGAAGACATATCCAGCCACCTGTGGGGAGGAACCAGCCTCACTGCATTCTTTTCCTGCCCACTAGAGATACAGTTACTAGGAAACTGGCCCAGATTGCCCCTCTCCCCTAGAACTGCCAGACTGTTAATGGTCTGGCGTCTGCCTACAGCCAATCAGTTTAAAATGCAACATCCCCTTTTGTGTTTCAACCAATAGATGCTTGCCAGGCAGGAATTCCCCTGCTTTGGACTTGCCAGGAGGGACTGGGACCTTTAAATCACCCACCTACCCTGAGCACAGGGCTCTCTACTCTCAACCACTATGTTAGTGAGGGTGTGAGCCCAAGCTCTAGCTTGTAATAAAAAGCTCATTTGTATTGGACTGGTGTCCTGGTGATCTCTCGGGGGTCTCGTAATCTTGGCATAACAAAACTTCTATATAACCTTCATTCACCCCAAATTGACCTCTTCCCCAAAGTTGGTCCCGGAATGTCATTTTCATTTGTGCTCCCAATCACTGAATCCCCAGTTTTTCACTTCTGCTCCCTTGTTCTTGAGTACTGTGGCCAACAACCCCAGGAATGAAGGAGAGCCACAATTGCCTACCCCCTTTCTCTCTCATAGGATTTTTCTATGTAGCCCTGGCTGTCCTGGAATTCATTATGTAGCCCTGCCTCTCCCTCCTGAGTGCTGGGCTTAAAGGCATGGGCCACCATCTCTGGTTGCACCTTTTTTTTTTTTTTTAAGATTTTTATTTATTTATGTATACAGTGTTCTGCTTACATGTACTCCTGATTGCCAGAAGAGGACATCAGATCTCACCATAGATGGTTGTAACTGGCTGCACCTCTTAATAAAGTAATGTCACTACTGGCCTGGCCACATCTATGCGGAATTGTCTTTTACAAGACATTTCTTAAAGCAGCAAGAAGTGCTGAACTTGCATGTTCTGCGTCATTCCTGCCATTTCCTCAAACACTGCAGCCTAAAATGGTACCAGGTCGGCCTTGCAAAACAGTAGGATACAGGGTTAGCAAACGACCTGCCTGAAAAATAATACTACTCACTTTTGTAGCTCACTGTCACCCTCACTCTCCAAAGCCTTATATTAGTGACATATTTGAGATCCCACTTATCCATAGCATCCTACTTCCAGGTAAAACATTATTTCATGTCCTTAGGAGAACTACAAGAGAATCAGAGAATATGAGGGCTAATTTAATTTTAAATAAAATAATAAATAAAATAAATAAATAAATAAATAAATAAATAAGCAGGGCAGAGTTGGCATGACTGTTCACAAGATCAGCAGGGTTGTAGACTCTACCATCTATAACACTCAGATACCATTTCCAAAGTCCTCACGAGGCCCTCTGGGCTCCACCTCACAGGTCTACAGTGTTAATAAAAGGAAAAGAGAGAGAGAGAGAGAGAGAAAGGATGTCTTAAACATTGTACTCAAACAAACACTATTTCATCTTCTTGGCCTGAAATAGAGGCTGAGATAGATTTTTTTTTTTTTGCCTACGTTTTATGATGAGTCTCTGATACAAACTCATCATTTTTTTTTCATTGTAAATAGTCTGAGTGTAAACTTGTACTTTTAGTTTCATACAAAAATCTACATATTCAAGTTTTATTTTAAAAATTTCCTAGATTTATCTTGAGTATTTACTTCATCGTGTGTAAGCAATCTTCTTGATTTGAAGTTAGAGATGATAAAGCATGTACGTACAGTGGTACCCAATAGCCCACGAATACCAAGGCTTTCTTTATAGTATGAGTTCTCTGATGTTGCATTGTGACCCATGAATAAAGCCTTTGCACATTTTTACATTGATATGGTTTTTCAACAGAATGAGTTCGTTGGTGCCGAGAAAGATGTGAGCTCTGGGTGAAGGCATTTCTACATTCTTTACTTTCATAGGGCTTCTCGCCTATATGGATTCTCTGATGTAGAGTAAGTTGAGAGTCATTTCCTTTTGCAATAAGTACATAAGATCTGAATGGAAGTGTTCTCACACCGACGACACCGTATAGTACTCCTGCCCAAATAAGTTGTCTAGGGCAAATAATAATGAAAGACTTCTTTATGTTAACTATATTCATAAGCTGCCTCCTTTCATGCAAATCCTCTAAAGTCACAATAATGAAAATAGTACCTAATATTTCTGATATGCTATGTTCAAGGCACTGTTCTAAGTGCTTTTACATGTTAAAACATGGTATTTAGAAGAATCGTGTGAAGAAAACTGGTCTTAGATCTACCTTACAAATGATTAAACCCAAGCAAGGTTACCTGTAACAAATGTCACGAAGGAAACCAATTGACAGGACCATGACAACAGTGACAGAGACATTTCCTATGTTAAAGAGCTTTCTGTAGTACAGCAACAGAATCGCTTTCTATTTGCTAAAATGTAATATGGTTTGTAAACAAAAGGTTTTCCTATGTGGATTACATCAACATTTCTATTCTCCCATATAAATTTACAAATGCTGAAATTCATGGAGTCCCATATTCACATCTGTAAGAATTCTGTACTTACAATGAATGACCAAGAAAAGCTATGCTAATTGCAAAGAATAAATTAACTCATATAAAAATTTGTGAATGACTAAAGTCTAGTCCACATTCCTTATAGTCAAAAGATTTGTCATTGACATGAATTTTCTGGTGTTGCATTAATTGTGACCCACGAGTAAAGGCCTTTGCACATTCTTTACATTGGTATGGTTTCTCACCAGAATGAGTTCGTTGGTGCCGAGAAAGATGTGAGCTCTGGGTGAAGGCCTTTCTACACTCCTTACATTCATAGGGCTTCTCGCCTGTATGGATTCTCTGATGTAGGGTAAGTTGAGAGCCATGACCAAAGGCCTTCCCACATTCCTTGCACTCATAAGGTTTTTCTCCAGTGTGAGTTCGCTGATGCTGAGTAAGCTGTGAACCATGAATAAAGGCCTTTCCACATTCCCTACACTGATACGGTTTTTCGCCAGTATGAATTCTCTGATGTTGAATAAGCAGTAATCCACGAGCAAAGGCTTTCCCACATTCACTACATACATAGGGTTTCTCACCGGTATGAAGTCTCTGATGTTGAGAAAGATGTGAACTCTGAGTAAAGGCCATTCTGCATTCTTTGCATTCATAAGGTTTCTCGCCAGTATGGATTCTTTGATGTTGAGTAAGTTGTGAGCCACGAATAAAAGACTTGCCACATTCCTTACACTCATATGGTTTCTCACCGGTGTGGATTCTCTCATGCTGAGTAAGTTCTGAACCCCGACTAAAATTTTTCCCACACTCTTTACATTCATAGGGTTTTTCACCAGTGTGGATCCTCTGATGTCGAGTAAGGAGTGACCCACGATTAAAAGCTTTCCCACACTCCTTACACTGATAGGGCTTCTCACCAGTATGGATTCTCTGATGCTGAGTGAGTTGTGAGCCATGACTGAAGGCCTTCCCACACTCCTTACACTCAAAAGGCTTTTCATTAGTATGAATCCGCTGATGTTGAGTAAGTTGGGAGCCACGGATAAAAGCTTTTCCACATTCATCACATTTATAGGGTTTTTCACCAGTATGGATTCTTTGATGCTGCATAAGTAGTGAGCCTCGAATAAAGGCCTTCCCACATTCCTTACACTCGTACGGCTTTTCTCCATTATGAATTTTCTGGTGCTGTGAAAGCTGTGAGCCACAAATAAAAGCCTTCCCACACTCTTTACATTCATAGGGCTTCTCGCCAGTGTGAACTCTCCTGTGGAGGATGAGCTGTGAAAGCTGAGTAAAAACCTTCCTACATTCTTTACAGTCATAAAGCTTCTCGCCAGTGTGCAGTCTCCGGTGCAGAGTAAGCTGTGAATTCTGAGTGAAAGCCTTTCCGCATTCTTTACATTCAAAAGGTTTCTCGCCAGTGTGGACCTTTTGATGCCGGCTGAGTTGTGAGCTTCGAATGAAGGCTTTCCCACATGCTTCACACTTATATGGTTTTTCACCAGTGTGAATTCTATGGTGTAGAATGAGCTGTGAGCTTTGTGTAAAAGCCTTTCCACATTCTTTGCATGCATAGGGCTTCTCGCCCGTATGAAGTCTCTGATGAAGACTTAGCTGAGAGTCACGACTAAAGGCCTTCCCACATTGCTTACATTCATGGGGCTTCTCACCAGTGTGAATACTCTGATGCTGAGACAGATGTGAGGCTCGTCTGAAGGCTTTTCCACATTCTTCACATTTATAGGGCTTCTCTGTAGAGTAACCTCTTGGATGTTGAGGTAAGTAAGTACGTGGACTGAAAATGGACATTTTGTCATATGTTATCATCTCTTGCCTGAAATAGTCTTTCTGGTTTTCCTGTTCCTTCTCTACCCTGTCTTCGACTTCCAAATATCTTCTAGAATTAGGCCTGGGTGGGCAGTGACAAGCCTGTCATTCATTTCCCACTGAGACAATCCTGATCCCTTAGAGTGATATTTTGAAGGTAAGTCTTTAACCAGACGCCTTAAGGCCAGCCTGAAGGAGAACAGCAAATAATTTCAGTGAAAGAGAACTAACGTACCAGAAAAAACAAGAAGACAATAATATATGTAAGAAATAACAAGGATGTATCAGTACTTTCCAGTATTTATTACATCCTACCCATAACAAAATTTCACAGCAGAATTTACTGCAGTTTCATTAAAACAATACTGCTTTCTATTCTACGTTATTCTATGTTGCCCCACAGCCAAAAACCAACTAAGGTGATTTTGATGCTGCTGTCCAAATTAAAAAAAAAAAAAAAAGCTTAGGCACCAGACATGGTGATCCTTGCAATAATAATAATAATAATAATAATAATAATAATAATAATAATAATAATAAT